AAGAGGAATACGTAGTGCTGCACCCTTCCCCCCCCCCCCCCACCCCGAGCCCTGGCAGGGGTTCTAATTCATTAAATAAGGGGGTTGTACATGCTATGGTCCCCCCAAATAATATTAGGTCCAGCCCCTGGGTGGCCAGGGTGACCTCTCCACCTCCCCTATCTTTACCCCACCCTGATAATAATAAAGAGGGAGGAACACAAACTGTAGTCAGGGCACTGTGTCCGTGTGAGACCACTTTAGCAGCTTTATACACAAAGCTCTGTATATGGGCTATCCTGAGTGGCTGACAGTCAACCTTTGTGTACTGACACCGCTATTTTAGTTATATAGTTTCTATCTTGCACAATTGGCAGACATGCCTTCTCTTCTTTTTTAATTTTATCTTTTACACTTATTACTTTTTTAGCTTCTTATTTAGTCTCATACCATATTTCTCGATTTTGCAATTCATTAGTCTTATCAGTAATATAATTTTTTTTTTAAATGCTTCTTAAGGGTAAACTATAGTGCCAGGAAAACAAAGTTGTTCCCTCTCCTTTGTGCCTCCCCCTCACCTAAACCCCAATGGTGCAGAATTGGTTAAAAACCCATTCTGCCACTTACCTAAGTCCAGTGCTGATGTTCATTGGTGCTGGTTGGGTGGGCCTTCACTTCTCCTCTCATCAGCTGGCATGAAAGAAGGCCCTGGGGAGATAGTGCAGCTAAGCGGACAAGTTCACATGTAGGAGTGTGGGGATAGAAGCTGTGCCTGGGCTTTTAGTCTTCACAGCTTGAAGGATGGATATTGAGGCAATCCTGGCGTCCCTCAGGGCTGCTGCTGGACTGGATGGTGGCCGATAACTAAGGGAGCAATTTGGGCACGTTACTGGAGGTATGGCTGCCGGTGGTCCCCCCACCCCCCGTGGCATACCGTCTCCTGGAGCACCCCCTGCTGCCTCCCCTGCGGCCCCTGCCCCTGGGGGCCATGTTAGCACTGGCAGGCGTTCCGCCCTGATAATACACCTCGGGCCTGGTTGAGGACTGGGAGCCCGGGCCCGAGGCACCAACAGGACCGCGTGTCTATTACGCGGCCTGCTACTAGAGGCCAGGATTCGCGGCCTTCCTACTACTGGGAGGCCTGAGGTGACTGATAGCAAATTTTGGATAAAATGAAAAAAATTCCCAAACCATTTGCAATTCTCAAATGTACTATAAGCTATTTCAGATGAAAAGCCATTATTGGGCACATCTCTAGGTAAAAAATTTTTGATAAACTCTTTAAATGATTTTATATATTTATTTTTTTTGATAAATGTTTTAAATGGTTTTTTTTTTCCAAAACATTAAAATCTCAAAACATATATCACATTTTAAAACATGTATCAATATGTAAAAAAAAATATACAAATATAAAATATTTTAAAAGTTTATCCAAAAATATTAAATCATTTGTAAAACATATCCAAAAATATTAATTCAAGGACTAAATTTGATAACCCAAACTGGGACATACTTTGGTGAATAACTCTCTGTGCATATTGTCTCGTTATAACATAAATTAGATACGTGTGTGGTAGTCAGGGCGAGTAATTGGCTTTACAACCCATATCGGCAAATATTTAGGACAGAGAATCTCGGCTGTGAGAATGTGGCTCAATTTTTGGTGTATCAACTTGATCTATGTGCTCAGATTTTTCAGTAGGCAAAGTAGGCTCCTTCGTGCACGTCCTGCACGCTGTGACTTTTTTCCCTGGCTTTTAGATTGAGATATTAGATCAGGGATGGGCAACCTTCGGCACTGCAGATGTTGTGGACTACATCCCCCATAATGCTCTTACACCCATAATGCTGGCAAAGCATCGTGGGAGGTGTGGTCCAAAACATCTGGTGTGCCAAAGGTTGCCTATGCCTGTATTAGATCTTTGGCCAACAATGACAAAAACAAAGTGTAGTGAAAAGGTGGTGTATAGCCAGTGGCAATCAGTAGTCAATACTAGGTTGGGTGGGTGGCATAAAATGTTCCAAGCCACGGGGCCACACTGCTCCCAGTTGACATTACAACTGTCCTTCTAAAAAAGTATTTCTACCGCTGTGCTCCAAGACCAGTTTACAGAGGTAGAAAAGTGGATCGCAAATAACAATCTCTTAAAAAACACTGACAGAACTGTCACAATGGTCTTTCGAATAGTACCTAAATTACACAATTCCCACCTATCCATCAAAACAAAACCAAATAGCAAACTGACCGCAGTGCACACTTTCAAATACCTGGGTATGTTGTTAGGCCCCAATCTGTCTTTTGGCCTCCACATAGAAAAACTTGCATTTAAAATTTATCCAAAACTAGGTGCCCTATACAGAAACATAGAAACATAGAATGTGACGGCAGATAAGAACCATTCGGCCCATCTAGTCTGCCCAATTTTCTAAATACTTTCATTAGTCCCTGGCCTTATCTTATAGTTAGGATAGCCTTATGCCTATCCCACGCATGCTTAAACTCCTTTACTGTGTTAACCTCTACCAATTCAGCTGGAAGGCTATTCCATGCATTCACTACCCTCTCAGTAAAGTAATACTTACTGATATTATTTTTAAACAAATCCTGCCTAAGCCCTACAGTAAAGAAAAAGATTGTACATTGATGCCAATCATTGATTATGGGGATGTAGTATATGCATCTGCACCGCAAACCCACCTTAATAAACTTAATACATTGTATAACTCATTCTGCCAATTTGTGCTACAATGTTATTACAGGACCCACCATTGTGACATGCTAAAAGAACTAAACTGGCTGTCGCTGGAATCCAGACGCACCCTTCATCTTTCCAGCCTTGTGTTTAAGAGCTTTTCTGGGAAGCTCCCACCCTACCTGAGCAGAATGCTCTCCTTGGCTGTTCCCACCTCCTCTAACCTCCAATCCAGTACCAGCACTTTATTTGGTCTACCTCAATACAATAAGAAAGCAGCCCGATCCTCCTTCTCCTACAGAGCACCGCAATTATGGAACGACCTCCCGCACACTTTCAAATCTTCCCCTAGCCTAAAGTCCTTTAAGAGATCCCTCTCTACATACCTCAAAACAGAATGCACGTGTCATGGGTGATTATGTATTTCTTACCTGTTCTATGTTACATTTTGTATATATTGTGTATTAATATTGTTTTTGTATTTTATTGTACCCTATTGTAACAATGCAATGTTTTGTGGACCCAGGACTTACTTGAAAACGAGAGAAATCTCAATGTATCTTTCCTGGTAAAATATTTTATAAATAACTAAATAAATAAATTTCAAAGCTGTCAGGGATAAGAGCTGTTATAAATGTATGCTTTCATGGATTATATGAACAGATAATGTATATTTATACAGTATTTTTGATAAGATAATTTCTTGGCATATTCAAGTTTCAATAAGTTTCTGAATATATTGCGTGCTCCTACCCCCAACACTCTCAGCTTATCAGTGCTGTCCGGAGCTATACTTCTAGTCCTTCTCCACCAGTTTCTTGCTTTCACTCAAATAGTCAGCTTTAAAAAAAAAAAAAATACTGTGCGCTGTAAACAGCAAACTCCAAAGGGCAGTACCTACAGTCACAAGCAGATTGCTCGGTTACCTCGTTTTTTCATTGACTGTATTTACATTGGAAAAACATTACCGACTGAAGACTCATTTTAATTTTGATACATTTAACAACGGGCCATTCTCTGCACATAGAAAGGATCTGCGTAGAACCATTTTTTTGACCACTATTGCGTTCCCATGTCTCCCATCTTGCCAACCCTTTATCCAATAAAAAATACATTCCAGATTTAATGAAATTGTAAAAGTGTAGATGCGGTGTGTGCGTGGCCATAGGAGTGCACATCGCTCAGCTGACATTTCTGTAAGGTATACAATATAAACATTTGGATTTCTGTTATCCATACTATGGCAAGGCTTCCAGTTAGTCAAGGGTGTTACTGATTTAATGCCACGTGGTTATATGATTATGTGGATCTCTTCTATGTGGTTCACTTAAAGCTCTGAGACACACAAGATCTTAAAACTGGTATTAATCAATATCTTTATTAAAAGCTTTGACGTTGTAGCTTGTAGAAAAGCTGTGATTATTTTGTTTCTTTTTAATATTTTTTTTCTACAACTTTGTCAGAATATTTATTTTTGCTTTTGACATAATATGGACACCTCTACTTATCAACCAAGACCAGTTTGAAATCTAATCGCGTCATTCTTCCTTCTGAACCTTTTTAGCTAAAAGAGCAATCTATGCACCATAACCACTACAAATAACTGCAATGCTTGTGGTATAGTAGGTCTTCAGGTGCTGTCTCAAGTTAGTGTTATATCATGTTTCAGTGATTTACAAAAGCTGGGGTACTCCCATCGTCTAAAGCTAGGTGTCTCTGGTATACTGGGCCTGGCACCATAACCACTACAATTAAATGCTTTTAAAGTGTCATTACCCCATTTTATTTCTTTATGAAATCTACGATTGGATTAACCCCTTAAAAACAGAAACAAACATTCCCCCTTTTCAATCTCAACATTCATATTCAAAATGTAACAATATAATGAATGCACACCGAAAGTACCTGTTAGATGTCACGATAAGACAATTGATTTTAATGCAGCCCTTCTAAGTATCTGCAAGATTTCAACGCTAGATATTACTAGAGCTTATCAATTTTACATGATTGATAAACTGGATAACTATTAGAAATGTTAAATTGTGTATAGGAGAGAATTATGGTCTAAGCAAACATTTATACAGTCCAGTTACACTGATTAGCAGTGTGTCAGTTCCGATGTGTTCCTTTAAATTTAGCCTGCCCTTTTTCAGATGAAGCTCAGATTCGATGCTGTGTAGATTCAAGGTGCTATTTACATTTCCTACTGCTGCCACTAAACATGTTTCCCGATCTTCAGCGGATGTGTCAAGTTACCTTAGATATCAGATATCCCAAAAACTATCAAAGACCCTGTTGGGAAGAATGGCACTGAATCTTTTCACGTTAGCAACATAAAAAGCGGACGTCATTCAGAGCTGTATCATCAGCTAAAAGACCTTGATTTTCCTGAACCCTGGTCTGTATCCCGCAGATTCCATTGTGACAACGATTACTCCATGCACCATAAGAGCCCCATATCATCCCTTCTCCTTCCAAATACTCTCCTTCCGAACACATAACATTGATGTTGTTCGCCGCTGTGTTATCACCCACAGTTTTGTATTCTTCAATTCTTAGAGTAAATGCCACTATGAAACCCCGTAGACACCAATGGATGGATTCCCATTCTCCCCAGCTGTAGAAGACAATAACAGGTTAGAGTTGGGCTGCAATTTTAAAATCCTCATTCCTTAGCCTCTCTAACCTGAGAAATGAATGACTAAAACAGTTATAAAAGACCTAATTATAAAGATATATTGCAGCTTCATGAGCTACTTACTTGGGGGAAAAATTCCACCTCGAGTTCTCTGCAGTACAAGGCTAAATAGGGCCCTGGGATGAAGCACCTGTGACAGGGAGGGGTGCAAAACCAAGGAGTTGGCTAGACTCCCAAATATATACAGGGGGCTGGCTACACCTGAACATGCATAAATATGGTGCTGCTGGGAGCCAATTTATACAATAAAAAAAATCCAGCGCACTCCCTTATCCACTAAACAGCAACTTTGGTGCTGACAGATTTTGTTCGTTTTTTAAATAATAAAAAATAATGGGGGTTTAGTTACATTATATCATCATACATTGCATAAGCCTGTCACAACATCAATGTACCCCATCTTTGGCAGGTCCTACTCTAAGACTAATTGTGCATTAAAACAGTGCGGTTCTTCACCAACATTTTATCATGTTTCCTGTATCTTCTCTTTACCCCATCTTTGGCAGGTCCTACTCTAACAGCCAAATGTATGCTACATTAGCTACTTACTTGGGGAAATCCTTCCATCTCGAGTTCTCTGCGGTACAAGGCTAAATAGGGTCCTGAGATGAGGCACCTGTGACAGGGAGGGGTGCAAAACATGGGCGTCCGCAGGAATTTTTCCAGAGAGGGCACAATTGTAATGACATCCATGCTTGATCCCTTTTTGACAGTGTCATGAAGGAGAGGAGCATAGTCATTATCACATAAAGCCAGGGTGAATAGCATTTTCACAACTATGGTGTCAGGAATACATGTTTGTATGCCTGACACTATAGTGTTCCTTTAAGCAAATTAAAGAAACATTCTGGTCACCATAACAACTTCATCTAAATTAAAATGCTATGATGCCAGGAAGCCCCTGGGTGCTCTCTTTCCTTTAAGGGGTTAAATTGCTCTCAAATGGTTAACCCCCAAAGGCTTCCTCCAGCTCCAGATCTACAGGTCGCTCAGTGGTATTCGGCTTCTGAAACTGAGTGTCAGGAAGTGCAGATTGACGTCACTCATGGGTGCTGCAGATTGGCTAGAGTGGTCAGTTGACGCTCTAAGCCAATCACTAGTTCCCGGTTAATAAAAATGTTTAACTTTTTTATGAATGGGGAGCTACTGACTGACTTAGAGTGCCAGCTGACCGCTCTAGCCAATCAGCGACACCCCTCCCCAGCGGCACTCTGTGCTTCCTGGCACTCAGTAAATAAAAGTGAACACATTAACACTGATATTGTTTTTTTACCTGGGGATATGAGAAGGTCCAAAGTTTCCCTGTCTGGTTCCAAAGCCTTATGATGTGGTGTCCAGAATAAAGTGGAGGGTTCACTTCACTTGTTCTTCCTGCTCCAATCTCCTTTTCTTCTCCTTCATTTGACACGGTCTTCTTTTTCTTCTGACACTGTCTTCTCTCCTCCTTTGCTCCTTCTGCTCCTTTACCTTTCTGCTACTTTCTGCTTATTGTTCCCCCCCCTTCTGCTCCTTTCTCTTTCTGATCCCTTTCTGCTCCTTCTCCTACTTTACCTTTGTGCTCCTTCTGATTCTTTCTGCTCCTTTACCTTTGTGCTCCTTCTGTCCCTTTCTGCTCTTTGCAGACCCTTCCCTCTCCTTGCAGACCCTTCCTACTCCTTGCTGCCCCTTGCAGACCCTTCCTGCTCCTTGCTGCCATTTTCGGCTCATTGCTGATCCTTTCTGCTCCTTCTACTTTACCTTTGTGCTGCTTTATGTTCCTGCTCCTTGCTGTCCCTTCCAGCTCCTTGATGTCCCTTCCTGCTCTTTTCTGTTCCTTCTCCTTTCTGCTCCTTCTCTTACTTCAATCACACGAAAAATAGCAGAACAAGCTGAAATACCCGGGGGGGCAAGTACCCACACTTGCGTTCCCCCCACCCCCCATGGATGCCCATGGTGCAAAACCAAGGAGTTGGCTAAACTCCCAAATATATATATGAGAAAACAGGAGGCTGGCTGCACTCACCTTAACATGTATAAATAGGGTGCTGCTGGGAGCCAATTTATACAATAAAAAAGAAAATCCAGCGCACACCCTTATCCACTAAACAGAAACTTCGGTGCTGACAGATTGTGTTAGTCACAGGTGCTTCATCCCAGTGCCCTATTTAGCCTTGTACTGCAGGGAGCCTCAGATGGAATTTTCCCCCAAGTAAGTAGCTCATGAAGCAGACATTAGGCTGTTAGAGTAGGACCTGCCAAAGCTGTGGTACACTGACATTGTGGCAGGCTTATGCAATGTATGGTCATATAATGTAACTAGACCCCCATTATTTTTTGCCTAGATTAGGTGTTTTTAAGGTGTTTTTTAAAAACGAACAAACTTTCAAAGCACCGAAGTTGCTGTTTAGTGGATAGGTGAGTGCGCTGGATTTTCATTTTTATAATGTCTCTCCTCTTAGCACCAAATGTAAATTTACAGTTAGTGTGTGCTTGCTTCTGAGTACCGTCAAGCTAGAATTAGGAAGAAATCTAAAAATTTAGAATGGTGAATCGCGATTCTAAGCTTGTAATAATCTATTTAAGAATTCAAAGTTAGGGTTAGGAGGAAATATTTAAGAGACAAGAGTTAAGCATAGGAAGCCAGGATATACATTCTATTTAAAAATGCAGAATTATAGAAGGAGCAGGTGCTAGTTTAGGGTAACCTTTGTTGGGCGTGGTAGATTAGGATTAAGGAAAATATAACCTTAACATTAAAATTACCCCTATCCCTAAAATATTAAATTAAGGGTCATTACAACAAAAACCTTAGTAATAATAATTTTAGGGATATGGTAGGGCAGTAATGATACCAAATTAAGATGTTTTAACTACACGCAATATTCTGATGTGTGCTAATAATCAAGGCGTACATACAATTGCACCAAAAAGATGGTCCCTCATTCTGACACCATGCAGTTCTGACAAAAACATTTTCTACGACACCTTCCTCAAATCTATGCCCAATAAAACAAAGAAGCTTAATACTATTTTCATGCAAGTTGCGGCACGTGGAATCTAGAGTAAGCGTTTTCAAAAATTAAAATCCACCCAATGAGACAGTTTCTCTAACCTTCCATTTGCTGATTGTCTTGGGTTATTACCAGAAGTGCCGTCTTTCCTCTCGCAGTAGATTCTGATGCCATTTAGTGCCGTATCATCTCCTATATACTGATATTTCTCTACCTGCATTCAGAGAAGAATACAGGTGAATATTCTAATGTTAGATTAGAGGTTAAAATTAAAAGTGTTAAAAATGTTTAATATTTTTTTCTTTTCTTTACTTGGAACAGCTTTGACTTGAGTTAATAAGACACGTATGTTTTAAGAAGTCCCAGAACAGGCTTCCTAACTCTGTATTATCAACCAAAGATATACTTTTCAGGTAAAATTAGCTAACACCCAGTATAGTATTGTGTAATACATTGTAATAAAATTTGTATAATCATATTTAATCTTCATTCAATAAAACATAGAATTAATACCCTACTATGCTGACCTCTAAAAATGCCATAAATTTAAAAAGTAAAAAATAATATGTATATACTATACCTTTACAGAGATCCCCCTGGCACTGGTATTTTTTGGACAAACGTCTAGGGGTCCCCATATCCCAGCACCTCCACCATTAGTTACAGAAATGGTGATTGATATTTTTTTTGGTCTTTGTTATCCTTTATTAGTTGATTTCCCTTTATATTGCAGACAGACAAAAAAAGAATAAACACGAAAAACACAGGAACCCACATCGTGAATCCACTTATCAGAGAAAACTGGTGATATTGAGATGATGAAGGACAATTAATTCTATTTATATATCTATGTGTAAACATCAGATCACGGGCCACCTTCTCCAGGCATCTACCATTGGTCGTTCTCCAGAGTTTGTCCACTGCCCATTGTCCTCCCCGGTGTATGTGGAATACGTTATATTATTTATATATCTATGTAAACATCAGATCACGGGCCACCTTCTCCAAGCATCTACCATTGGGCATTCTCCAGAGTGTGTCCAATGCCCATTGTCCTCCCCGGTGTATGTGGAATACAATGTTACATTATTTATATATCTATGTAAACATCAGATCACGGGCCACCTTCTCCAAGCATCTACCATTGGCCATTCTCCAGAGTGTGTCCACTGCCCATTGTCCTCCCCGGTGTATGTGGAATACGTTATATTATTTATATATCTATGTAAACATCAGATCACGGGCCACCTTCTCCAAGCATCTACCATTGGCCATTCTCCAGAGTGTGTCCAATGCCCATTGTCCTCCCCGGTGTATGTGGAATGAAATGTTACAATGACCTCAATAATCCTTGTACAAATGCTCAATAATTCTAAACCTACATTCCCATTAATTTAGTGCTACTATGGATACTCCACTTAACCCATTTAAATACTCACTAATTTATCACTTTCATCATTTATATATCAAATAAAAAAAAATAAACAACTCAAATAACAGACACAATACTACAGTTCTTTTAATGAAGTCAGTTTACTGCTAGCAATAATATGGACAGAAGTAGAAAGTATTCTACTGTGCATACAAATAATCAATATTCATTAATGGCATAACAAATACAATCATTGTAAATAATTACAAATGTGTGTGATTTCATAAATAATTTCAACATGGGACATGATCAACATGAATGCCCCGATCTGGTGTAAAACTACACCTCCCATGATGCTTTGATGTAGTTTTACAATAGCTGGAAGTTACGTCTAAGATTACACAGTCCTAGAGAGATGTTCATCAATATGAAGATCTCTGGTTGGGTCTGAGGATTTGAGTTATACAGACGAGCAAGAGTAGGTTTGCAAGATTCTGAATGTGTAGTTCAGAAAGGTTTGGGAGAGACAGAGAGAGACATAATGTGCAGTGTTTGTGCTTGATACAATATTGTGTTCAGTAATACATAAAGGAGTGCTATATTTCACGAATCCCAGATGTCTCTGTCTAATGCAAAAAAAAAAGTGTCACAAATAAAAGGTTTTTCTTTACGGAAAATTAATAGTCTACTTATAAAAACAGCTTTGCCATGAAAAGCGTTTGGGCCCTAATAAAGTTTTGGAATAAACTGTGATCTTTAATTTTAGTATTTAGTTAGAACACAGGGTGTGACAGATATTAGATTTAATACAGGAACAGGACGACCTTCTTGCATTGTTAAATGTTATGAATGGGTCACACAGCCCGTACATACATTTCCCACCTGGATTGGCTGACAATTTAAATGGGCAATCACCTTCTGAGATACGTCCTGCATTTTAATGTAAGACATGGGTTTTTTTTGTTAACGTATGGACTTGTGATATCAATTTTAGTGTGTGTGTGTGTGTGTGTATATATATATATAAAAATACTCTTGGCACTCACCCATTAAAAACTTTTTTCTTTTTTCCTTGATATCTTTGCCTGGGTGCAAACCTCAGCGTGAATATATATATTTTTCATAGAAAAAAGGTGCACTCACAGGACTTCTTCCATCAGTGATTTTATTCTAAGTTGTGCATTACATTCGTAATCTTCAATCAACGTTTCGACCCCTAAAGGGTCTTTTTCAAGATCAATATAACAGTGAAATGAACATATATATATAGGTAGATAAATGAAATAATCACTTACCCAACAGGTGTGTGGAGATGAACTCCCGCCCGGCCGCCCGAAACCCGGAAGTGAGTAGGTGCGACCACGTGACTGAGCGTGATGACGCGTGTCGCAAGTGTCGTTGCTAAGCAACGTAAACAAATCCTTCGTGATTATTTATTTTACTACGAGCTCAAAGACAGCTCGAAGAGAGAACATCAAATTGTGTGCCAAGTGCCCAGTGAATTTAAAATAAGTCCTAAACCAAAAGGACACCCAAAAGTTTATAAACAATACCATGAAGAGGAATATATACAATATGGCCATCTGAGACTATAGACTGACAGCATACACCAGCTAAACTGTATACAGATGATACAGCAAGTGCTACTAATGTGCAAATTTATGTTAATCAAAAATAAACCTAATGCCAAATAACTCTGGAAATATAAACTGTCAGAACAAATATTCAATCTCATAGCACAATGAAATAATTATGTGAAAATCTATACACAACCACTATTATAGAGCAAGCTGAATGTCTATTTATGTTACTAAAAAACACATTATGCAGAAAATTACCATAAAATTAGTGCTGTTATTACTACTAAATTTATAGCAGAATCTAGCCTTAAACATTAGTGAGTAGCTTATATGGCAATATTATCCATATTCTTTAACAATAGAGCAACCTGTTATAATAAGGGACTAAAAATGTATTTTGGAAATCTATATTGTACCCAGACTAAACATTTGATACATCTATCCTCCAAATAAATACATAAGCAACATCGGAGATATAGTATCTACTACTAACGTGCACAAGTATAACATGCAATAATTGCCAATATATCAGATTCAATAACCAAACCATATAACGTTGTTTGATTAAATAACCTGCAGATCAGAATAAATCATATCTAAATCCAAGTAATCATGTCCAATTCATAAGAACATCGAATACGTATTATATTCATTCAAACCTCTGGGAGTAACTGTATCCAGAGAAAAAATCCAATATGCTTCCCTTTGGAGCAATGTTCTAGATCTGTCACCCCCTCGAGGTAAAGGGGGGACATGATCTATAGCCATGAATTTCAGTGTGGGAAGTCTGTGTGAAGCCGCCAGATAATGTTTGGCTACTGGTTTGTCCGTTTTTAAATCTCTAAAGGCTGTCATGATGCCAGATCTATGGCCTCGGATGCGATCACGAAGAGTGAGATCCGTCTTCCCTACATAGGATAACCCGCAAGGACAGGTAATAAGATAAATCACATGATCTGTAGTGCATGTGATATGATGTGAAATTTTCAGTTTCTCAGTCACGTGGTCGCACCTACTCACTTCCGGGTTTCGGGCGGCCGGGCGGGAGTTCATCTCCACACACCTGTTGGGTAAGTGACTATTTCATTTATCTACCTATATATATATGTTCATTTCACTGTTATATTGATCTTGAAAAAGACCCTTTAGGGGTCGAAACGTTGATTGAAGATTACGAATGTAATGCACAACTTAGAATAAAATCACTGATGGAAGAAGTCCTGTGAGTGCACCTTTTTTCTATGAAAAATAAATATATATATATATATATATATATATATAGTAATATGCCTTTATGGTAATATATATATATATATATATATATAGTCTCTGGGGCTCCTTCTACAAGTGAGTACTATACAAGCATGAGAGGCTGCTGGAGACACCAAATACTAAGGATTCCTTGTGTGTAGTCATAGTGAGGTCACTAAGACCTGCTATAAATGATTCCAGTACATGAGAAAGTTTGGGAGCTATATTATATGTCACCAAGCCTCTCAGATGCCCTTGTGAGGACGTCATTGTCCCCTTAAATATCTTTTATTTATCATACTCTAGAATGGAATTGATAGCCTAAAGCAGGGATAGGCAACCTATGACACTCCATATGTTGTGGACTACATCTCCCATAATGCTATTAAAGCCATAATGGGGAAGGTTGCCTGCTCCTGCCCTAGCAAGGATTCCTGTAGTAGGAAGATGCTGAGTGTCTCCTAATGGCAGCAACACCACAGTAGGGCACCAGTATATATCTACAAGGAGTGCTAATAATGGTTTCAGGAGATCTCTCCAGAATAGTATGACAGAGGTTTCAGGAGATCATGACAGTAGGACCAGGAGATCTATCCAAGAGATCATGACACTGGGTTCAGTAGATATCTCTTAAAGATCATGACAGTTGATCCACGAAATCTGTCCAGACACTGGGTACATGAGACCTCTCCAGAAGATCATAACAGTGCTTCCAGGAGATCTGTCCAGAATGCTATGACAGTGGTTCTAGGAGATCTGTCCAAAATATTTTGACAGTGGTTCCAGGATATCTCTCCAGAATATTATAACAGTGGTTCAAGGACATCTCTCTAGAATATTATAACAGTGGTTCCAGGAGATCTCACCAGAAGATCATGAAAGTAATTCCTGGAAAACTCTCCAGCAGTATGACAGTAGGTATTATCTTTACAACAACATCACAATAAGAATAATATAATAAAAAGACACATTTTCCAAAAGTCCATGTCAGTGCAGAGAACGTCATATGCGGATCAGACAGTTGGTAGTTGCAGGAGTGTTATGATAATTAAGCTTCATTCTGTAAAGCGGAAAAGAGAGAAAGGTTACCTCATTATGAAACCAAGGGTATTCCAAACAGATCAATCATCTTTTATTGTTACAGAAGGGTTATTCACTAAATAGCGAGCTGCGATTACTTGACAAATGAAACAAATTTAGATAAACAATAACTGGATAAATAATCCCACTCTGCTACTTTTGGCCTAAATATTACTAGTCATTGTGTAGTAGATGATTTACTGCAAACCAATAAGTTTGAATGACTATCTGTTCCTGTCCAAATTAAAGATAATAAAGTTGCGTGCACGCAGAAGTAAATTCACACTGAGACACAGGGTTCAGGTTAATGAAAGAACTTCGGAGAAGTTTAATGGCTTCTAACAGAAAATGGGTGCGCAGACCCTTTTAAAGGCATTATTACATCACTGAAGAATTCAAGATAACAGCAAATAGACACTATTGATTGGTCCAGGTGTTAAGTGGTTAGTTAGATACCCTCCTATCAAGAGGTGATGTCATCCTTGACACGGGAGTGGACACAAGATGTAGGCGCCATCTTGTTAGCACGAGGTGTTCACTCGATGGGAGGGGTGCTTTGGCAGCCATTTTGAGTAGTTGGTATTGTTAGTTTCAAGGTTCTTTTAGTAAATACACATTTTATTATAATTAGCTGACACGTACTTTATTAAGACCAACATGTGGCTCAGTTGCTACAATATTTCATTCAACAGAAACTCATTGTTCTGCTGACGCACATTTCTTCCTGCCAAAGTATTAGCTTAGATAATTTCAAGAATTCTATAATTCTACAACAGTCCCCCCTTAAAATGTTAGATAAACTTTATTTGTTAATACCAGAAGACTTGTTAGCCCAAAGACACAGAAACCCTATGGTCGCTAGCTTGGTGTTATTGCAAAGTGCATGTCTACCCCTATCTGACCCTAACAGGCTGCAGCTCATCCGTCAGTACGGCCCTCGAACACTTCACTCCGTGGGTAACCCGCAGCGGCTAGTCCACCACATCTCCCACAACAGACTAACCCATACAGACGGACGCTGTCCCTGCGCTGGTTCCCTTCCTAGAACATCTGCACTTTATCAGTATAAGGGAGAGTTTGTAGCGGAATACAGGGTGAGGTGAAATCTTGATCATCGATTGTCAGATGAGTGAAAGTTAGTGTCGCTTGGTCTGTAGTCTTCTGTAAGAATTTTCTAAGGCATGGGAGGACACAACAAACGAGAAGAGCGAGAACAAAAAGGAAAATTAGTAGAGCCATACCAATATGGACTAAAGCTTTCTGCCAACCTGACATCCAACCAAACCACCTTTCCCAGTGATCTGTTACCCCAGAATTCCTCTTCAACTCTTCTGAGAGTTTCTCTAACTTCGCTATGGCCACAGTGACTTTACCATTTGGACCTGTGTTTTCTGGGATATAAGTGCAACAAGTCATGGTGTCAGGTAGTATTTTACATACCCCCCCCTTTTTCAGCTAGAATCATGTCTAAGGCCATTCTGTTCTGGAAGGTCATCTGGGATGTGGCCTGCAACTGCTCGGCCAGGCCCTGGAGGGCATCCCTGGTGTAGTTGACGAAACGCTGTTGGTTGTAGTAAATGTAGTTAACCAATTAAGGTTTTTGTTGGCAGTGACTATGGTAAAAAGTGATTCAAAACCTACAGCGACTTCATCTCTAGCTTTAAATTCATTAGGCACCCCCCTAGGTACCCCAATGGCATCTATGTAAATGTGGGGGTCAAAACTGCGTTTCGTGCTTCACTCTGGCTGGTGTATGTGGAGGGTCGTATGTGTCATGATGATTATCAGAAATAATATGAATGGGCATGATAACTTTGTCCAGGGTACACTCACCCCACCACTCAGTTTCCAGCCTAGATCTTAACTGTAGATCCCCACATAACCAGTAAATATCCCCCAATGACCTGGTATGGTGTTGCAACAGGCGTATAGGAACAGTTCTGTAGGTGGCACAATAGCCATTGGAAAAGTTACCCAGGAATTTACCAATCCTGTCATAGTTAGCATAACAAGTGTAATTACCCTTGTAAATCGTGATTCCATCTGGGGGTTTGACATTTCCAATTAAGAGGGGGTACTCTGCCATCCATGCTTTGCAGAGGGATCTGTTGAAATTATAGCGGTAGGCAAAAAGACTGAGGAAGCAATTCTCTGTCTCCAAAGGGAGAGTTAGAGGAACGGTGCCAAGATGAGGTCGAGCACCACCGCACACATAGCATGCGGTTTTGTTATGTTTATTAGCATTATATTTCATCCACTCTAACCATAGATTGATATCATTGTAACCAGTTTCAGTGTCCATGGTGTCTTCGAAGGTGGGGTTAGCAATGGCCATCATGTCCTTAAAAGACTGGATATGTGGTTTCAGTGGATTCGGGACCATATGAACAGCCCCTTGCCACTCTGGAGAGTAGCACATATCTTTAAGATAGAAATGACCTAATTTGTTATAGGAACCACTTTTCCAATACATTCCCATTACATATTGGTCAGCATCCTTTGGACCAGGGTGCTCAATGTTTAACATTAATTTTATGGGCAGACCTCCTCCAGGCTTTCTTAAAGTCATTCTTTGAAAGAGGGATCTACCATGGTCATCTACTTTAGATAAGGCACTTTTGGGTTTGTAACCCCAGGCAGGCCCAGTATTCCATCCTGCAGCCCCCCAATGGTCACAGTTGTGTCCCCATTGCTTGTCAACTACACAAACATAGGGGTCCTTTGCGTGTGGTATATCTTTGTAAATGGTTTGAATCTGTGACTTGGGAAATGGGCAATCTACTATGTCACAGTAATCAAAGGTGAATGTAGCTATGCGGGTGCATGATGAATTATACCAGAATGTGTACCCACTAGCATCTTTGGTAATGGCCACTTGTTGGGCCTCAAGGAAACTAATCAAAGGGATGATGTACCAGAGGTACATGGTTGTGAGGAGTCTGCTTCCTCTGGGACAGGAACCTTTTTGCAATGGGAGGCATGGATCCAGTTGCTTTTCCCAGCCAACTTGACGGAGGTGGAGGTGATCAGTAGAACTTGGAATGGTCCGTCAAATCTTGGTTCCAGGGTGTGTTTCCGCACAAATTTCTTGACTAGGACCCAATCACCAGGGAGCAGACTGTGGTTGCCCGTATCAGAATCAGGATCTGGAATTGAAGAGAAAACTTGGGCATGGATTTTGTTTAAAGCATTTGCAAGTTCAGTTACACAATCTACTAAAACATCAGTTTGAAGTTGTAGTTGTTGGGGAAAATAGCAACCTAGCCTAGGTGCAGTCCCAAATAGAATCTCATATGGGGACAGTGAGGGTTTTCCTCTGGGTGTGTGTCTGACACTGAATAGAGCTATTGACAAGCTTTCTGGCCAGGGCATCTTTGTTTCTTGTGACATTTTTAACATTCTAGCTTTTAGGGTACTATTCATACTGTTGGGGATAAAATCAGCCTGAGCCCTTTGTGGATGATGGATATTTGCCAACTCATACAGAGCTCTGGAAATTGGAAATGAATAGCAGAGACATGTTCAATAACCAATTCAAATTTTAATTGATACATCAGTTATACTTATACCCCATTTTCATGTCGGTGGGGGTCATTGAGCATTGTGACATAGTTTATTTTTCACAAGTTGTTTTCAGTTATAATTCGATGTTACATAATGTATGCATATTGGATAAAACCCAGATGATTACAAATACAGAAATCTTGGACAATACACAAGGA